TTCTAAAGACAAACTCTTGAGTCCCTGATGATGATGATTGCATGTATAGTTGGGGAGGTAAGGATCATGTGTGGTTTAAAGACACTCTACTGCTGAAAAATTCTGATTCCACCTACCATGGTTTCTACCCCCCTTCATCTTTATAGAACAACTAGTCTATTCTTTGAAAGTTAGAAGGGTGGTTAGTGTCTCAACTTCGATATAAAATGGCTTCACAAATTTAAATATGCAGTAAAGAAAGAGACCCATCTTTAAAAGAATTGTAGGTTTGAACTCTCGACATGTGGAGCTGACTGGAAGGAAGTAGAAAAAATTCATCTCAGTCATTAAAGATCCACAGCACCTTCAGTCAAAAGAGAAAGACCATGGAAAACTTAAGATGATATTTGAGTACCTAATATTCCACAAGCTGAAGGTGGGATGAAGTGAGCATATTCTTCAATGCAATTTTCATATATGGCTTAAGAGAATAATGGGCAGAAGTAAGGGCTTATGGAGAACTATTAGTTTGGGCTACTTTCAAGGAGTAGATAAGGTGAGTTAGTTAATTAAAAATATTCCCTATCCCCCAAATTTAGCATTGTTATGGAACATCAACTGCTTTGTGTCTCCAAGTCTTCTATTTGAAAAAGGACAGTGTGATTAATTGGTCCCTATTATACTATTATATAGGGTGTATGTGTTGGAGGTGTGTGTGTGCAGATAACCTGACTTTTTCAAACTTAAGTCTTTGAATCAGGAAGATTTACATCTGGAACAAATACCAAGTCTATATCAAGATCCTGGACTTTGAGCCTTATTCTGTAATTTGATAGGACTTTTTGGTAACTCCTTAGAAAGGAGAAGAGGATATTTTACCTATAGAAAGGAGGAAAATGGGGCGCCTGGGTGGCTCAGTCGTTAACCACCTGCCTTCGACTCAGGTCATGATCCCAGCATTCTGGGATCGAGCCCCGCATCGGGCTCCCCGCTTGGCGGGAAGCCTGCCTCTCCCCCCTCCACTCCCCCTGCTTGTGTTCCTCTCTCACTGTGTCTCTCTCTGTCAAATAAATAAATAAAATCTTAAAAAAAAAAAAAAAAAGAAAGGAGGAAAATGAACAATTGTGGCCAAAGCATTGCCTGTGGTAGATTGCAATACTCTTTCCAATCACTTGCTGTAACAGGATTATATAACCCTGTCCATTACCATGTGAGGTACAGTACCTCTCTATGGAAGGGGTATATGCCCTCAGCCCACTGACTTCTGGTCTTATTTCTCTGCTAGTAGAATATGTGAAGAAGTCTGAATATACCAATGAGAAGAAGGTTTAAGAGTGACAGTATGGTTCAGCACTTCTCCTTTTTCCTTTGGCCATGAGTATAGCGTGCTCCAAATATAACCTTTGCCTGGTTGCTAGAATAAAAAAGACCCAAAGAAGACTACTGGGGTGGAGACAGCTGAATTGCAGCTGCCACAGCCTTTATGTAACATGAGCAAGAAATAAACCTTTGTTACTTCAAACCTTTGAGATTTAGAGGTTTATTTATTTCCTTTGAGATTTAGAGGTTTATTTATTTATTTACTTAAAACCTTTGAGATTTAGAGGTTTATTTATTTCCAAGGCATAACCTATCAATAGCTGAATAGTAACCATCTGAGAGCCATCTTCTCATGATTTTACTTATATCACCTGCCACTCTGCTACAAAGTTCCTACTAAATAAATACTAGGTATACACATGAGTGAAAGGTATGAAGATGTCTAGTCATTCATCGTTGAGTTTTTCATTTGAGAAAAGCCCCATCCCCATTATAATTTTGTTTTGTCTCCAGTGCCTACATAATGACTCAGCAACCAAATCTTTGAATTTCTTTTGATGAAAAATCAACATTGCTAAAATAAGGATGTGATTGAAATGTAGGTGTTGATTACTCAGTGCATATGTCTGAATGGGTGAGAATTCATATCAGTGTAAAATGACTAATATCTCTTATAAATCAATAGGGCAAAAATCAATAATTTCAAAGAAAAATGGGCACGAGGAAATTAAAATGCCTTAAATGAAAGTTACATACAAATGAAAATAAAAATTAACAAGACATCATTTTTAAAATATTAACAAACTTAACATGTATGACAAATTGTAATAATTCACTGTATTGGCAATCATTTGAGTAAATAAGAGAACTCATATATTGCTGATAGAACTTTTTCAAGATGATAGTTTGGCAATGTCCATCAAAATTTTTAAGAACACATGGCTTTTAACTCAACAGTTCTAACTCTAACAATTTATTACAAAGATATACTTACATATAAGCGAAATGACATGTATATATATTTAAGGATGTTTAATATTGTTTGTAATAGTAAAAGAATGGAAATCATCTAAATGTCAACAGGGGAAATAATGATGTGTCTCTGTAGTCACTATAAAGGATTAGTAATTTTATGTATAATCATCTGGAAATATATACCAAAATATACCATTATGTGAGAAAAAGGAGGTGAAAAGGAGTGTGCACTATGCCGCCTTATAGGTCAAATTAAATTATATATTTACCCCAGTATATGTGATGCATAGATAGGGTGACCATATATTTCAGTTTGCCCAGTATACTTCTAATTTTCACCTATTGTCCTAGCGTAATTAGTACTTGCACACCCTCTCACTTTTAAAAGTGTCTCAGTTTGGTCAATAAATTATATGTATACTTTATGTTTCGGTGCATTTGCCTAGACTATTTCTTGAAGTATGCACAAGAAATACAGTGAAGGCTGCCACCAGGATGGCTGTGGGTCTGGGATGGAAAGAACACTTAGTTTACTTTATATATCTTTTATGTAGCATGTATTGTAACCTGGTGCATGGGTTTCTAATTCATAAGTTAGTATTAAACATTTGAAACTAATTGCTCAAATTTATCTCCATAAGATTTTTATGTAATGTGAAAATATTGGGAAATACAATAATGATTAAAATAATACAAAGTTTTACTGTGCAATGTGAAAAGAAAGCAAATGGAATCATAAGAGAATGTTTAAGGGTACAGTGATCTAGAATTGCATTCTGCTGCTAAAATGCCAAATTGTGGCCCTAAAGGGAGTATAATTTTCTCCTTAACCTTTTGATGTTTTGCAAAAATATGTGAGATAATTATAATGCCTTCTAGTAATTAAATAGACTGTTATTTTGTAAATAAATCTTGTGTATTTTCAGTTCTCACCAGGATATATTATCTATTTGAACACCATTGCAAAACTCAGAGGACTTTTTTCTCAAAATCCAATTTTTTTTTTTTGGGACAGAAGGCTATCATAAAATCAAGTATTTTGGGACAAGCCTCATTAATTATTTGTTACAATGTAAGCTTCTGATATGGAAGCAGCTTTTCTTGGCTGTTTCCCTGTGATAACCCATTAGCTATAATAGTGCCTGGCATATTGTGAATATGCAATAAATATTTCTTGAATAAATGAATAAATGGATTAATGAAGGAAGATTTCAGTTTGACAGGTATTCTTATACTCTAATACTGCTGTGTAAATTGACATAAACTTTTTTCAAGGTGAGGCATTTTAACACAACCACCAAATTTAAAATGTACTTTTTGAATCAGCGATTTTATTTCTGGAAATTTATCCTGTGAAGATGCTCATACAATGCACTAGAATTCACATACTCATACAACATATATGTTCCATGGGACATTACTACAAATAGTAAAAATATCATAAATATTCATTTATCCATTTTTAGGGAAATAATTCAAGTCATTATTTTAGATCCATAAGTGCAATGTAATGAAGACATTGAAAATAACAATGTTGGTATGTATGTTCTGAGTCTGAATTAATTTATAGGAAAGAAAAGCACAAGGGGGGAGGAAGGAAGAGAGGGAGAAATCTATCTGCAAAGAATCTCTAGATTGGCACAAATATGAAAACTTAGAGTCAGCAATGAAATAATTAAGTTAATATCTTTTATAAATATGATTTAAAAATTATAAACTTTTACAAAAGTTTGTAAAATAAATATACAGTATGTGTGTTTATTTGATTATAGTTCTGTTTTCCTATTACAAAGCTCTGTGAAGCTGGTATCCTGATTTTTGTATGCACTTCTTTGCCACTTGTTCCAGTTCATAGTAGACACAACAATTATGTGATTTTTGGATAATGTATCTAACTAAGCTATCAAGAGATAATCTCAGAAATAAAGTGAAAAAATCAGGTATGGAGTTACATATGTTCTCTGTTATGTGAACTAGACAGATTTAAAATAAGAAGGTTAGACAAATTTCTCCCAATAAGTATACACATTTAAACATTTTACACCATGCCTTATATTTGGGAAGAGGCCTATGGCTCAACATTTTGTTGACATTACTTTGAACTCCTGCTACTTTATTGTATACATACAAAAAGGCACAAGTAGGCTCCAGCTTCTTTTCTACTTTTTACTTCTTCTGGCAATCTAAGCAGCATAGCTGTCTCTGTGCTCTTTTATTAGGTAATGCTATTAACTAAGATCATTATTCAGATGTGTGAGTCTGCAAAAATCAGTACCTAACAAGCATCCCCAGTTCCCCACTTCCTGCCTCATGAACATAAAATGACGTTTATTTGGCTGGGCAGTGCAACTTCTATTTGTGCACACTGTGTGTAATTCTATTTATTTGTCTCATGATCTACATTCTGGTCAAATAGAACAAATTGATTTCAAACTGCCAATAGTCCACATCTCTTTACTATGATATAGTGTAAGTTATGAGTTCATATTTTATTTTTAAACTCTTATCATAACCCTAAACTTGTTAAAGATTGTGACTTTATAATGGATTTTTTTAAATAGTGTTTCATTGGAAAAGTAATCCCCACTATGCCTTTTGGTAATCATGAAAAGTTAGTAAAGATGTTGAGGTAGTTTTAGAAATAAAATGTTGGAGAGTTTTTATATAGGATTATTTGTGGGACTGAATTTCACTTTGCTAACATTTATACAAACAATATGTCCCAGTGTTCTGCTGTTAGAATACACAGACGTGAGAATGAGTCAAAGAGCCAGAAGCCAACCAGAAAAATGAGAGCCCTGAGTGTCCAGACTTCTGTGCCAACACTTCCAGAAGGGCCTTGGTGAGTTGACAGATGATAAAGTTATGATTGGGTAAAAAGTAACCCAAATGACATTTTTTCTATTATTTTTGAAGCCTAAAAGACCTATGTAATCGAAATATTCATTTAAAACACTTTGAACTCTGAGTAAGAAGGAAATATAGACTATAATTTAAATATTCCTTGACCTCCTGCTTTCAAACAGGTTAAAGCACACCAATTTTAAGGAAAATATCTATTTCCAAATAATTACAGTCCTCGGGCTTGTGAGAGGGTAATATCTTGAAAGGCATTAACTATAATAGATGTATGATAACTGCCATTTGACTGACACTTAGGTACTACTTGAAGGACTTCTCCAAGGACAGAAGATTCTTTCTATCTCATAAAAAGCTGGATGCCCCCGAAGGATCAAAGAGTAAGTGTTCTTGAGAAGATTTTTATTTGCATGTTTTCAGCAGAGAATTACAAGAGAAACCATTATACTATTAAAATTAAATCCATATAATGAAAATAATACTTATAGAGCTTTTGCAATTTGTCAGGCATTTTATACATATAAAATCTCTTCTAATTCTCAAAAAAAAAAACCCATATGATGTAATTTTATAAATAAAGTGACTAGGGCTTAGAAAGGTTAAAAATTCCCAACGGTTCTGTCTTTAGTAAATGGTAAGGCTCAGATTCAGATATAGGCAATTGGACTTAATATAGTAAGCTATAAAAACTAAGGGGATACATTTCCACTGAAAGTATTTTTATTTTAAAATTCTGAATGTCCAAGTGAAATATGAGAATGTTTAGTTCTTGTTTTATCTATTTTTTTAAAAGTTTACTCAATTATAAGAGGTGTTTATCTTGATTGTTAGGTGTTATTGGCATATGATAAAAACAATTCCAAATTATGTATTTGCCCCTTTAAAGATAGCAGTCATTAATACTGAGGTATAGGAAAGTGGTTGATAAACAGATGCCTCTATTTGTAATATGTTTTATGTACAATTTCTCTTAATTCATCCTTGTGGTTTATTAAAAAAAACAAACATTAGATGTGAGAAAAGCAGATTTTTAAAAAAGATTTTATTTATTTATTTGAGAGAGAGAGCGTGAGAGAGCACAAGCAGGGGGGAGGAGCAGAGGGAGAGGGAGAACCCAAATCGGGGCTCAATCCCAGGGCCTGGGATCATGACCTGAGCTCAACGTAGACACTTAACCAATGAGCCCAGGGTGCCACCCAGGCACCCCAGAAAAGCAGATGTTTTATGTTCAATAAAAACTAATTACTTAAGAAGAAATGCATTCTGATATAAACATTGTACTTGCTACATAGAATTTGGTTAATGCATGTTTATTTTTTAATATATGTATTAAATCAAAGATTGCATAGATATAAGAAATAGCTTTTGAACATTATACAAAGGTTGGACAATTAATCCTGATGTCTTTCTTATGTGGTAAAATAATTATGTTCAAGAATTAATTTTTACATATTTTAAATTTAGTTTATGACTTACTCTTATTTTGCCTATTGATTTGTTTTACATTAATCAATTATTTGTGACATGAAAATATCTTTGGGCTAAAAGAAGCAGAAAGAGTTTGATACAGTCAAATGTATTATCATTATCAACAAATACATGATGAAAAAATTAGGGCTCAAGGCATAGTGCTCACCTTTGCTAATCTAAGGAAAATATTAGAATGTATATCCTAATGGAAGCTATTTGGGGAGAAATAGAAGTATATATAAAAAATAAATGAGATTTTTCAAAGGTTTATGGAAGCTATAAATAATTTTTAATACATTAGTTGTGGGAAGAGGCAGTGAATGCAGACAGTAATTCTGGTTCTGAAGGAGTCCATTTTATTAGAGGATGACAGTCAGTAAAGAAAAACAAAGCATATTAAAATGACACAATATTATGACAGTTGATATGTGAAAGTAAGTACCTTCTTATGGTGGGATAAATGATGGCTGTGCAGATCTGAGAAGACCTGTGAAAGCAAAGCTTCAAAAGATGATGAGGTAGGACTTAGTTGCTGGTACATTCTTACATACCTTTTGCAAAAGCATAACCTACTACATAAGAATTTTTCAAGCTGCACAGTTATGAAAGAAAAAATGTGAATATTTAATTTTAATTGAAGGGATTTTTAATAAGCCTTGAAAATGGTGCTTAATTCCACCCTATACTTTACTTGTATCCTCCTCTAAGAGCACACAGATTCCCAGTCACAGCAATGTTTTAGAGATTCAGTGTATTATGTAATGGATTATAAGGCTATAAATAATATCATAAATAAAACCAATGTAATTATATCACAACAGAGGCTAAGAATCCATTTGTAAACTACCAAACGATCCAGCTGAAGAGACATATGTTTTCCTTAAGATAATTAAGTATAGAATGTGTGAAATTTATTTTGCAAGCAAGCCTGAGATTTTATATATGTCAAACTTGGGAGAAGCTATAAGTTTTTCATGAAAGATACAAAGGATTCCTTTCTTAAAAAAAATTAGAAGCCGAAAAGTTTCAAACCTGTTTCAGTCATGAGTATGCCATAGCTAAATTAAAATCCACAGTTTTATGTCTGGTATTCAAAAAGAGTATTTCGAATTGAAGAACTCTCAGCTATTTGTTTTAACATGGATCTTAAATCACTCTTCAGATTTTCTTGGATAACAAAACATAATGAAATTTACAATGTTAGCCTGAGAATTAGTAACTATGTCTCTTCTGTTAGTACTGGGAAAACTTGATGACCTGGATTCCATTTCATGGAAAAAAAGAAAGGAACAATGACAACTAGATTCACCTCTTGCCTGCACTTTATGTAAATAGGATTCACACTACCCAGAGCTTCAAACTCAATTATAAAGGGAAGCTAGGATATGAGGCTATCTTGTAAGCAATCACACACAGGTAGCAGGGTTAAGTCTAGAAGTACTAACCTGTGCGTTTCCTGTGTATTTCCCTTCATATCTTCCAGCATTTCATAGAACCTTAAGTTTATTTCATCTTCTCTCTCACCATACACAGAAACAAAAAATAAGTACTTAGAGAAAACACTGGCCTACATAATAAACTGTAAGATTCTAACGTGTACTTGGAGAGCAAGGTTTTCTCCATCCAAAGATAATTTTAGACCTGAGGTAAATGGGGGGAGGGAGAGACTGGTGGCACAGGGGAGATGTAGTATGAAAGGAAGGAGTGGAGAAACAAGAGTCATTGACATGAAAAAGGACACAAGTTTCAAAATGTTACTGATTCTGCATTACTATCTATTCATAGCCTCTGGACCACTTCACTTGCCATCTAGCATTTGGAGTCACTAAGCTCATCTGAATATGAGTAGGTTGTCCTAGGCATTCTGTATGGCAGTAGGATATGGAAAAAAAATTTCCCAATCCCATTTTATGGAGGAATTTAATAAAACTATTTTGGAATTTTCCTGTAGGCCAGGTCATTGTTGCACCCTATGCTATTTGATATATACCATTTAAATGACCTGTTAGTTCCAAATATGAGAGGCCTTCCGTTGACAAAAAATACTTTTTTTTAAATACTGTATTTTTTAAACACAGTGTGCTGCCTTAGTACAATTCTCTAGATGTTCTCAGTTCAAAGAAAGGGGGTGAATTAATTTCTTGAAAATCCAAACAAACCTTAAATTCTTTCCTGTCAACAAAAATCATTAAGGAGATCTTATTTAATATATATTTATTACATTCACTACTGGTTTGTGACATTCAGAATGAGAACTGTCAGCTTGAAAAGATCACATGAGAATAACTACTATAAAAGAGGAGTTACTTATTTTTCAGGTACTGTTACTGAAATTCAAAATGGCTGTGTATTTATATATGTTCAACTTCTCTTCAGAGTGATACTTATACTATTCTTCAGGGAAGTTAAGTAGGAGCATTTGTAAGTTTTATAATGGACTCTAAATTTCACTTTTAGAAGAGTTTTACACTCAGGTATGTTTTATTTAACATCACAGAATGCAATGTGGGTATAGTTATATCACCAAGATACCAGTGAAACTTATTAATTCATAGCAAATTCAGAGAGGAGGGAAAAAGGACATTGGGCAGAGTTCAGGTAGTAGGAAATGAAAAATAAATTTTAACAGCAACTTAAATATCACAAAGAATTTAGTTTGTAGTTGTTATCCCAAGATAATTTCAGGATAGGAAAATAACTTTTTCAAGTCTTTCTCTGAGATATGGTGTGGGGCACCTGGGAGGCTTAGTCAGTTAAGCCTCCAGCTCTTGATATCGGCTCAGGTCATGACTGCACAGTGGTGAGATCAGGCCCTGCAAAGGGCTCTGTGTTCAGCTCAGAGTCTGCTTGTCCCTCTCCCTCTGCTCCTCCCCCCATCCCTCCACCTCTCAAATAAGTAAATAAAATCTTTTAAAAAAAAATCTGGTGTTATGTATTGGTAAGATTCTCTGAAAACGATATGGTTCATGACTGCATATCAAAATGCATAATCACAATCTCTGATTGGGTAATCCCACTTCTGGAAATCTGACTTAAAGAAACAGTTATTTAAAAGTAGAATGCTATATGTTTAGCAAAATTTGTTAAAATTTTGCCTACAAAATCATAAAATTGAAAATATTATGTCTAAGGAAGTACTTATTTTTTATAAAGATTTTATTTATTTATTAGAGAGAGAGAGAGAGAGCACTGGGGGGGAGGTGGAGGGTCAGAGGGAGAAGCAGACTCCCTGCTGAGCAGGGAGCCTGATGTGGGACTTGATGCCAGGACCCCGGGATCATGACCTGAGCCAAAGACAGACACTTAACCAACTGAGCCACCCAGGCGCCCTAAGGAAGTGTTTAAAGGTTATGATAATCAGCTAAAAGGAATGTTATATAGGTATTAAAAATGCCAAATATGAAGGAGAAAAGAAAATGTTCATGCAAAAAGCCCAGAATTAGGGGCCTGGGTAGCTCAGTTGGTTAAGCGACTGCTTTCGGCTCAGGTCATGATCCTGGAGTCCCTGGATCGAGTCCCGCATCGGGCTCTCTGCTCGGCAGGGAGCCTGCTTCTCCCTCTGACCCTCCCCCCTCTCATGTGCTCTCTCTCTCTCATTCTCTCTGTCTCA